TGCTTGTGTCAGCCTTTGCTTGTGTCAGCCTTTGCTTGTGTCCAGCCTTTGCTTGTGTCCAGCCTTTGCTTGTGTTCAGCCTTTGCTTGTATCAGCCTTTGCTTGTGTCAGCCTTTGCTTGTGTCAGCCTTTGCTTGTGTCAGCCTTTGCTTGTGTCGGCCTTTGCTTGTGTCAGCCTTTGCTTGTGTCCAGCCTTTGCTTGTGTCCAGCCTTTGCTTGTGTCAGCCTTTGCTTGTGTCAGCCTTTGCTTGTGTCCAGCCTTTCTTTGTAGGATTATTTATTGCACGTCTGATTGGCTCATTTAACCGTGGTTTTTCCAGGGATCCCTACAGTTTTTGTTATTATTATTATCATTATTATCATTATTATTATTATTATCATTATTATTATTATTACTATTATTATTATTATTATTTTCATCATCATCATCATCATGGTCGTTTTCCTTCGTGTTCATAATGAATGCCTGAGAAGGGCCATAATTGTTTTACAGTATGAACTATACTGATAAAACTAGAAAAAAATATTTATACTTATGGCTATGTCTGAAACGACACACTATACACGCCGTGTATCTATTTCCATGTCATACAGACTCAAACGAAACTGGAATTTGATTCACTTGGTTTTCTTCCGAGGCTTTTTCCCCTACAAACACTCCGTTTAACCGTGGTGTTTCCAGGGATCCATATAGTTGTTATTACTATCATCATCATCATCATCATCATCTTTCTCGCTAGTATCATTACTATCATTATCCCTGTGATAGTAATGAGAATAATAACAATTAGTAGTAGTAGTTTTCATCTTATCGCTGTTATTCCTATTATGTTTACAATCATCATTATGAAAATAATGAGGATTTTTGTTATCATTATAATTGTTCATTTCAATTATCATATAATAAATAACAATGATAACCATTATGATAATGAAAACTGAAGTAGTATGAATAGTATAATTTATGCCTATATCGAAAGCACCAATCTATTTATTTTAATAGTTTCAGAAGAAACCACCTCAGGCATATCTGGAAGAAATTCATGGTCGTTTTCCTTCGTGTTCATAATGAATGCCTGAGAAGGGCCACGGTTGTTTTACAGTATGAACTATACTGATAAGAGTAGAAAAAATATTTATACTTATGGCTATGTCTAAAACGCCACAATATGTGGTTCAGTGACGGTGCCAAATAGCGAATTCCTGACGTCTTCAAGAAGGGACCATCTTGGGCATATATGGACGAGCCTTACCTTCGGAGTTCTTCGCGTTCACATCGGCGCCTTTGTCGATGAGCTTCTCTGCCGTCGCCTCGTGCCCTTCCTCAGCCGCCAAGTGTAACGGAGTATCGCCTGAAACGGGAAGATAAACAAATCAGTGAGATGGAGAGTGCGTAGTTCCATCTCATGACGTATCAAATATTTGTGGCTCTGCCTTAGACATCATTAATACTATCCAGGTTTATCGTTCGATATCGATTTAGAGTGGTCGACAATGTACTATCAGGAGCAGAAGTCCGGCAGCCTGGCAAAGGTTTCTAGGCGTCACCCGCAGATGTCGCAGTAAGGGAGGTAACAAAGCGGGGGGCAAAGGCACACACACATATATATGTATATATGGTATGTATAGAAATGGCTCCTAACAGCAATTTCCGTCGTGTTTCGAACGAATAGGGAGCTTATTCCCATCGTACACACAGCTCAGCTATGATTTCGGCCCCGTTAGTTAGGGAGAATATGAAAGAAAACCTGGGAATTGCCGTAGGATCGAGTTAAGTCAGTCACTTTGCTTTGATGCACAAAGGCAGCATATAGAGGGCTTCGTCCCATCAATTCCCTTTCCGGGGGGGTTACCACCCCCCACCCCACCCGACCTGGCCTGCAAAATCTTCCCCTCGCATGTTCTGGCTGGAGAGGGCAAATGTCTGACCCGCGTGCTGATTTGGATCAATTCTTACCTTAATTGAGAATTGCAAAGGGGTTAGCGGGTTATGGGATCAGCTGCTATGCCCTGTTCCTTTTTGGTATTTTACACAAACCATAAATGAACAAATACACAACACGGTTTTCCCAACACTTTGTACACTACCTGTCTACGATGGAACTCGTTTGGATTCCAAATACCTTTCCTTATGTCCAGCCTTTCCTTGTGTCCAGCTTTTCCTTGTGTCCACCTTTCCTTGTGGGATTATTTATTGGCTCTACTAGACACGCCGTGTATCTGTCCCCAAGTCAGTAACTCTGCTATGGAATGCACAAACGCAGTATATAGAGGGCTTCGTCCCATCAATTCCCTTTCCAGAGGGCTTACCGACCCATAAACACATATGTATGTATAAATGTGGTCATGTTTAGTGATTATCACTATGATCGTTGTAATACTTATAGTTAGTAGTAGTAGTAGTAGTAGTAATGTTATTATCTTCACTGCTGCTAGAACTATCATCAATATCATTATATTAATTATTACTACTAATACAATTATTGTAATGACCATCGTGTAATTATCATTTTTATTACTAAAATTACCATTAACATCAATATCATGGTTATAATAACCATGATATCAATCATGATTATTGATGTTTGCTACTAGTAAATATTAAATAGTTTTATTACTCTTATCATCATGTCATTATCATTGCTATTTTTCCTATTATTATTATTATCATTCTTCTTCGAGGCAAGTACATTGCACGGAAGTAGTTAGAGCATCAGTTTATGCACATATATACACGACTATCCAGAGGGGAAGGAGGTTAAGAAAGAAGGGGGAAAGGGAGAAGGGAAGGGGTTTAAAAAGGAAATGGAAACAGAGAAGAGAAAAGAGAGGGGAAATGGACACAGAGACGAGGAAAGAGAGGGGAGATTGAGACAGAGACGAGGAAAGAGAGGAGAAATGGAGATAGAGAAGAGGAAAGAGAGAGGAAAAGGAGAATTGAAGAGGAAAAGGATATGAGTAAGGGGAAAGGGATGGTGAAAGAGAAAAGGCTTAGAGAAAAAAGGGGGATGGGAGAGTGAGGGAAGAAGACAAGAGTAGAGAAAGCGGGGAAGTTTAGGGAGGAAAGTGAGAGGGGAGGAGTAAATAAAAGAAAGATTACAGAGTGGAATGGGGTGACACAGCGGGAAAGGGAAAGTTGAGGGAGATAGAGAGGGAAAAGAAAAGGGAGAGAAGAGCGAAAGGTAGGAGAGTGAGAGGGAGAAAGAAGTATCATTTATCCCCCCCCCCCTTGGTATTTCCCGGAATCCCTATAGTTATTACCATTATTAATATCATTATTATTATTATTATTATGTTTCTCGTTAGTATCATTATCTTTGCTATCATTATCCCTATAATAGTAAAAAAAAAAAAAAAAAAATAGTAGTAGTACTCTTTATGCTATCGCTGTTATTTTTGTTATGGTTACATTCATCATTATGATTATACGGATTTTTGTTATTATAATTGTTCTTTTCCTTTTTTCCTATTATTATTTTAATTATTATCATTATACAATAACAATAACTATTACAATGAAAATAAAAGTAGTATGAATAGTAATTTATACTTATATTTAAAGCACCAATCTATTTAGTTTAATAGTTTCAGAAGAAACCACCTGAGGCATATCTGGAAGAAATTCACGGTCGTTTTCCTTCGTGTTCACACTGAATGCCTGAGAAGGGCCACGGTTGTTTTTCAGTGTGAACTTTATTAATAAGTTATTATTATTAGTAGTAGTAGTAGTAGTAATGTTATTATCATCAATGCTGTTAGAACTATCATCAATATCATTATATTGATTATTACTACTAATACAATTATTGTAATGACCATCGTGTAATTATCATTTTTATTACTAAAATTACCATTAACATCAATATCATGGTTATAATAACCATGATATCAATCATGATCATTCATGTTTGCTACTAGTAAATATTAAATAGTTTTATTACTGTTATCATGTCATTATCATTGCTATTTTTCCTATTATTATTATTATTATCATTCTTCGAGGCAAGTACATTGCACGGAAGTAGTTAGAGCATCAGTTTATGCACATATATACACGACTATCCAGAGGGGAAGGAGGTTAAGAAAGAAGGGGGAAAGGGAAGGGGAAGGGGTTTAAAAAGGAAATGGAAATAGAGAAGAGAAAAGAGAGGGGAAATGGAGACAGAGACGAGGAAAGCGAGGAGAAATGGAGATAGAGAAGAGGAAAGAGAGAGGAAAAGGAGGAGAATTGAAGAGGAAAAGGAGATGGGTAAGGAGAAAGAAATGGAGTGACAGCGGGAAAGGGAAAGTTGAGGGAGATGGAGAGGGAAAAGAAAAAGCAGAGAAGAGCAAAAGGTAGGAGACGGAGAGGGAGAAAGTATCACTTATTCTCCCCCTCCCCCCCATGGAATTTCCAGGGATCCCTATAGTTATTACCATTATTAATAATATTATTATTATCACCTTTCTCGTTAGTAACATTATCTTTGCTATCATTATCCCTATAATAGTAAAAAGAAAAAATAAATTACAATTAGTAGCAGTAGTTTTTATGTTATCACTGTTATTTCTATTATGGTTACATTCATCATTATAAAAATTATACGGATTTTTGTTATCATAATTGTTCTTTTTCTTTTTCCTATTATTTCAATTATTATCATTATGCAATACATAGATAGGAAAAAATCAATAACAATAATTATTACAATAAAGATAAAAGTAGTATGAATAGTATAATTCATGCTTATATTTAAAGCACCAATCTATTTAGTTTAATAGTTTCAGAAGAAACCACCTGAGGCATATCTGGAAGAAATTCACGGTCGTTTTCCTTCGTGTTCACAATGAATGCCTGAGAAGGCCCACGGTTGTTTTTCAGTATGAACTATATTAATAAGACAATATATATAGAGAGAGTTATGACTATGTATAAAACGCCACAATATGTGGTTCAGTGACGGCGAATTCCTGACGTCTTCAAGAAGGGCCCACCTCGGGCATATGTAAACGATCCTTACCTTCTGTGTCCTTCGCGTTCACATCAGCGCCTTTGTCGATGAGCTTCTCTGCCGTCGCTTCGTGCCCTTCTAGAGCCGCCAAGTGTAACGGAGTATACTCTGAAACGGGAAGATCAACAAATTAGCAAGATGCAGAGGGTGCGTAGTTCCATCTTATAATGTATCAAATATTTGTGCCACCTCGCTCCCTCTGCCTTAAACATCATTAATACTATCCAGGATTATCGTTCGATTTAGAATGGTCACAGTGTACTATCAGGAGCAGAAGTCCGACAGCCTGGCAAAGGTTTCTAGGCGTCACCCGTAGATGTCGCAGTCAGGGAGGTAACAAGGCGGGGGGCAAAGGCACACACACATATATATGTATATATGGTATGCATAGAAATGGCTCCTAACAGCAATTTCCCCCCCCCCCCCCCTCCCGTCGCACACATATCTCAGCTATGATTTCGGCCCCGTTAGTTAGGGAGAATATGAAAGAAAACCTGAGAATTGCCGGACAAAAGCACGAACATGTATATATAATGTATATATATATATATATATATTCATATATATATATATGTGTGTATATATTTATAGATGTATATAAACATATGTATGCATACATATATATATATTTTTTTTTTTTTCAACAGCCATTCATTCTACTGCAGGACATAGGCCTCTCTCAATTCAGTATGAGATATACGTTTCGGGAATCATATCTCGAAGTTTCACGGGGAATAAAGCTTTAAAAATAAGAGCATTACAATTATTTTTCACATCCTCTCTGGTGGTACGCTCTGCTTCGTGTATGTATACATGTGGTATGCATATATTGTTGTTTGTTTGTTGTGTATTGTTTTTGCAGAATAAAATATACGAATATGTGATTTTAATTACTTTCTATGACATAATAGTAGTAATAGTATTAGAAAAACAAAATGATGCTAACAACAATAATAGTGATAATAATAACATCACTGATGATAATCCTAATCATAACAGTAACCATTATGATAATAGTAAAAGTTATACTGTAATAAATGCAGGAATGGTAACTAACAATAACTACAAGATTAACGATTCTCACAAATAAAAAAAAAAAAATCCTTATAACAACAATGGTGATACTTATTATTAAATAAAAAATCAGGTAAACTTATAATGAATATAACATCGATAATAAAGTTAGCAGAAATACTTCAATCATAATGATAAACGTTTTTATAATGAAATACAGAACATAACAGATGATGAACTGATAACGATAATACCAACAGAAAAAAACATATTCATATATTCATATCTAAAGCACTAATATATTTAGTCTAATATCGGTGCCAAATTCCTGTTATCTCTACTGTAAAACCCCCTCAGTTTTATCTCAAATTGCCTTACCATCGTTGTTCTTAGCGTTCAAGTCAGCGCCTTTAGCAATGAGTGCCTCTACCATCGCCGTGTGCCCGTTGTGAATTGCCAGGTGTAACGGGGTGTTCCCTGGAACGAATAAACGAAATGTAGTGTGCAGTTCCGGAAATACTTGTACCTCTTTTTGGCTTTTATCTTTATAGCATGTGTCTAATAGTTGTGATTACTGACCTTCAACAGTGTATATAAATATATACATAAGAAATACACAAAGGCAGAAACACATATGTATGTATAAATGTGGCCATGTTTAGTGATTATCACTATGATCGTTGTAATACTTATAGTTATTAGTAGTAGTAGTAGTAGTAATGTTATTATCTTCACTGCTGCTAGAACTAGCATCAATATCATTATATTAATTATTACTACTAATACAATTATTGTAATGACCATCGTGTAATTATCATTTTTATTACTAAAATTACCATTAACATCAATATCATGGTTATAATAACCATGATATCAATCATGATTATTGATGTTTGCTACTAGTAAATATTAAATAGTTTTATTACTGTTATCATCATGTCATTATCATTGCTATTTTTCCTATTATTATTATTATCATTCTTCTTCGAGGCAAGTACATTGCATGGAAGTAGTTAGAGCATCAGTTTATGCACATATATACACGACTATCCAGAGGGGAAGGAGGTTAAGAAAGAAGGGGGAAAGGGAGAAGGGAAGGGGATTAAAAAGGAAATGGAAACAGAGAAGAGAAAAGAGAGGGGAAATGGACACAGAGACGAGGAAAGAGAGGGGAGATTGAGACAGAGACGAGGAAAGAGAGGAGAAATGGAGATAGAGAAGAGGAAAAGGAGAATTGAAGAGGAAAAGGATATGAGTAAGGGGAAAGGGATGGTGAAAGAGAAAAGGCTTAGAGAAAAAGGGGAGATGGGGGAGTGAGGGAAGAGGACAAGAGTAGAGAAAGCGGGGAAGTTTAGGGAGGAAAGTGAGAGGGGAGGAGTAAATAAAAGAAAGATTACAGAGTGGAATTGCGTGACACAGCGGGAAAGGAAAAGTTGAGGGAGATAGAGAGGGAAAAGAGAAGGGAGAGAAGACCAAAAGGTAGGAGAGTGAGTGGGAGAAAGAAGTATCAGTTATCCCCCCACCCCCCTTCCCCTTGGTATTTCCCGGAATCCCTATAGTTATTACCATTATTAACATCATTATTATTATTATCATTATGTTTCTCGTTAGTATCATTATCTTTGCTATCATTATCCCTATAATAAAAAAAAAAAAAAAAAAATAGTAGTACTCTTTATCCTATCGCTGTTATTTTTGTTATGGTTACATTTATCATTATGAATATTATACGGATTTTTGTTATTATAATTGTTCTTTTCCTTTTTTCCTATTATTATTTTAATTATTATCATTATGCAATACATAGATAGGGAAAAATCAATAACAATAACTATTACAATGAAAATAAAAGTAGTATGAATAGTGTAATTTATGCTTATATTTAAAGCACCAATCTATTTAGTTTAATAGTTTCAGAAGAAACCACCTGAGGCATATCTGGAAGAAATTCACGGTCGTTTTCCTTCGTGTTCACAATGAATGCCTGAGAAGGGCCACGGTTGTTTTTCAGTGTGAACTATATTAGTAAGACAAAACAATATATATATAGAGTTATGACTATGTATAGAAATGGCTCCTAACAGCAATTTCCGTCGTGTTTCGAACGAATGTATCACTCATTCCTGTCGGACACATAGCTCAGCTATGATTTCGGCCCCATTAGTTAGGGAGAATATGAAAGAAAACCTGGGAATTGCCGGACAAAAGCGAAAGATCGAGTTAAGTCAGTAACTCTGCTATGGAATGCACAAACGCAGTATATAGAGGGCTTCGTCCCATCAATTCCCTTTCCAGAGGGCTTACCGACCCATAAACACATATGTATGTATAAATGTGGTCATGTTTAGTGATTATCACTATGATCGTTGTAATACTTAAAGTTATTATTATTATTAGTAGTAGTAATGTTATTATCAATGCTGTTAGAACTATCATCAATATCATTATATTGATTATTACTACTAATACAATTATTGTAATGACCATCGTGTAATTATCATTTTTATTACTAAAATTACCATTAACATCAATATCATGGTTATAATAACCATGATATCAATCATGATCATTGATGTTTGCTACTAGTAAATATTAAATAGTTTTATTACTGTTATCATCATGTCATTATCATTGCTATTTTTCCTATTATTATTATTATCATTCTTCGAGGCAAGTACATTGCACGGAAGTAGTTAGAGCATCAGTTTATGCACATATATACACGACTATCCAGAGGGGAAGGAGGTTAAGAAAGAAGGGGGAAAGGGAAGGGGAAGGGGTTTAAAAAGGAAATGGAAATAGAGAAGAGAAAAGAGAGGGGAAATGGAGACAGAGACGAGGAAAGCGAGGAGAAATGGAGATAGAGAAGAGGAAAGAGAGAGGAAAAGGAGAATTGAAGAGGAAAAGGAGATGGGTAAGGAGAAAGAAATGGAGTGACAGCGGGAAAGGGAAAGTTGAGGAAGCTGGAGAGGGAAAAGAAAAAGCAGAGAAGAGCAAAAGGTAGGAGAGGGAGAGGGAGAAAGTATCACTTATTCTCCCCCTCCCCCCCATGGAATTTCCAGGGATCCCTATAGTTATTACCATTATTAATAATATTATTATTATCACCTTTCTCGTTAGTAACATTATCTTTGCTATCATTATCCCTATAATAGTAAAAAGAAAAAATAAATTACAATTAGTAGCAGTAGTTTTTATGTTATCACTGTTATTTCTATTATGGTTACATTCATCATTATAAAAATTATACGGATTTTTGTTATCATAATTGTTCTTTTTCTTTTTCCTATTATTTCAATTATTATCATTATGCAATACATAGATAGGAAAAAATCAATAACAATAATTATTACAATAAAGATAAAAGTAGTATGAATAGTATAATTTATGCTTATATTTAAAGCACCAATCTATTTAGTTTAATAGTTTCAGAAGAAACCACCTGAGGCATATCTGGAAGAAATTCACGGTCGTTTTCCTTCGTGTTCACAATGAATGCCTGAGAAGGGCCACGGTTGTTTTTCAGTGTGAACTATATTAGTAAGACAAAATAATATATATATAGAGTTATGACTATGTATAAAACGCCACAATATGTGGTTCAGTGACGGCGAATTCCTGACGTCTTCAAGAAGGGCCCACCTCGGGCATATGTAAACGATCCTTACCTTCTGTGTTCTTCGCGTTCACATCAGCGCCTTTGTCGATGAGCTTCTCTGTCGTCGTTTCGTGCCCTTCCTGAGCCGCCAAGTGTAACGGAGTAAACCCTGAAAGATAAAATGATAAACAAATAAGCGAGATGGAGAGGGTGTGTAGTTCCATCTCTTAATGTATCAAATATTTGTGCACTTCGCTTCCTCTACCTTACACATCATTAATGTTATCCAGGTTTATTGTTCGATATCGGTTTTGAGTGATCAGCAGTGTACTATCAGGAACAGAAGTCCGGCAGCCTGTCAAAGGTTTCTAGGCGTCACCCGTAGATGTCGCAGTAAGGGAGGTAACAAGGCGGGGGCACACACATATATTTATATGTATATATGATATGTATAGAAATGGCTCTAAACAGCAATTTCCGTCGTGTTTCGAACGAATGTAGCACTCATTCCCGTCGGACACATAGCTCAGCTATGATTTCGGCCCCATTAGTTAGGGAGAATATGAAAGAAAACCTGGGAATTGCCGGACAAAAGCGAAGGATCGAGTAAAGTCAGTAACTCTGCTATGGAATGCACAAACGCAGTATATAGAGGGCTTCGTCCCATAAATGTGGTCATGTTTAGTGATTATCACTATGATCGTTGTAATACTTACAGTTATTATTATTATTAGTAGTAGTGTTATTATCATCACTGCTGTTAGAACTATCATTCATATCATTATGTTAATTATTACTACTAATACAATTATTGTAATGACCATCGTGTAATTATCATTTTTATTACTAAAATTACCATTAACATCAATATCATGGTTATAATAACCATGATATCAATCATGATTATTGATTTTTGCTACTAGTAAATATTAAATAGTTTTATTACTGTTATCATCATGTCATTATCATTGCTATTTTTCCTATTATTATTATTATTATCATTCTTCTTCGAGGCAAGTACATTGCACGGAAGTAGTTAGAGCATCAGTTTATGCACATATATACACGACTATCCAGAGGGGAAGGAGGGTAAGAAAGAAGGGGGAAAGGGAGAAGGGAAGGGGTTTAAAAAGGAAATGGAAACAGAAGAGAAAAGAGAGGGAAAATGGACACAGAGACGAGGAAAGAGAGGGGAGATTGAGACAGAGACGAGGAAAGAGAGGAGAAATGGAGATAGAGAAGAGGAAAGAGAGAGGAAAAGGAGAATTGAAGAGGAAAAGGATATGAGTAAAGGGAAAGGGATGGTGAAAGAGAAAAGGCTTAGAGAAAAAGGGGGGATGGGAGAGTGAGGGAAGAGGACAAGAGTAGAGAAAGCGGGGAAGTTTAGGGAGGAAAGTGAGAGGGGAGGAGTAAATAAAAGAAAGATTACAGAGTGGAATGGGGTGACACAGCGGGAAAGGGAAAGTTGAGGGAGATAGAGAGGGAAAAGAAAAGGGAGAGAAGACCAAAAGGTAGGAGAGTGAGTGGGAGAAAGAAGTATCATTTATCCCCCCCCCCCCCCCTTCCCCTTGGTATTTCCCGGAATCCCTATAGTTATTACCATTATTAACATCATTATTATTATTATTATGTTTCTCGTTAGTATCATTATCTTTGCTATCATTATCCCTATAATATTAAAAAAAAAAAAAAAAAATAGTAGTAGTACTCTTTATCCTATCGCTGTTATTTTTGTTATGGTTACATTCATCATTATGAATATTATACGGATTTTTGTTATTATAATTGTTCTTTTCCTTTTTTCCTATTACTATTTTAATTATTATCATTATGCAATACATAGATAGGGAAAAACCAATAACAATAACTATTACAATGAAAATAAAAGTAGTATGAATAGTATAATTTATGCTTATATTTAAAGCACCAATCTATTTAGTTTAATAGTTTCAGAAGAAACCACCTGAGGCATATCTGGAAGAAATTCACGGTCGTTTTCCTTCGTGTTCACAATGAATTCCTGAGAAGGGCCACGGTTATTTCTCAGTGTGAACTATATTAATAAGACAAAAAAAAAAAATATATATATATATATAGAGTTATGACTGTATAAAACGCCACAATATGTGGTTCAGTGACGGCGAATTCCTGACGTCTTCAAGAAGGGCCCACCTCGGGCATATGTAAACGATCTTTACATTTTGTGGTCTTCGCGTTCACATCAGCGCTTCTATCGATGAGCTTCTCTGCCGTCGCTTCATGCCCTTCCAGAGCCGCCAAGTCTAACGGAGTAAACCCTGAAACGGGAAGATAAACAAATTACCGAGTTGCAGAGAGTGTGCAGTTCCATCTCATAATGTATCATTATTGCTTGTGTCCAGCCTTTGCTTGTGTCAGCCTTTGCTTGTGTCAGCCTTTGCTTGTGTCAGCCTTTGCTTGTGTCCAGCCTTTGCTTGTGTCAGCCTTTGCTTGTGTCCAGCCTTTGCTTGTGTCAGCCTTTGCTTGTGTCCAGCCTTTCCTTGTGTCCAGCCTTTGCTTGTGTCCAGCCTTTGCTTGTGTCAGCCTTTGCTTTTGTCAGCCTTTGCTTGTGTCCAGCCTTTGCTTGTATCCAGCCTTTCCTTGTGTCCAGCCTTTCCTTGTGTCAGCCTTTGCTTGTGTCAGCCTTTGCTTGTGTCCAGTCTTTGCTTGTGTCAGCCTTTGCTTGGGTCCAGCCTTTCCTTGTGTCCAGCCTTTGCTTGTGTCAGCCTTTGCTTGTGTCCAGCCTTTGCTTGTGTCCAGCCTTTGCTTGTGTCCAGCCTTTCCTTGTATCAGCCTTTGCTTGTGTCAAGCCTTTGCTTGTATCAGCCTTTGCTTGGGTCGAGCCTTTCCTTGTGTCCAGCCTTTGCTTGTGTCAGCCTTTGCTTGTGTCCAGCCATTGCTTGTGTCAGCCTTTGCTTGTGTCCAGCCTTTGCTTGTGTCCAGCCTTTGCTTGTGTCAGCCTTTGCTTGTGTCCAGCCTTTGCTTGTATCAGCTTTTGGTTGTGTCCAGCCTTTGCTTGTATCAGCCTTTGCTTGTGTCAGCCTTTGCTTGTGTCAGCCTTTGCTTATGTCCAGCCTTTGCTTGTGTCCAGCCTTTGCTTGTGTCCAGCCTTTGCTTGTATCCAGCCTTTGCTTGTGTCCAGCCTTTGCTTGTACCAGCCTTTGCTTGTGTCCAGCCTTTGCTTGTGTCAGCCTTTGCTTGTGTCAGCCTTTGCTTGTGTCCAGCCTTTGCTTGTGTCCAGCCTTTGCTTCTGTCAGCCTTTGCTTGTGTCCAGCCTTTGCTTGTGTCAGCCTTTACTTGAGTCCAGCCTTTGCTTGTGTCAGCCTTTGCTTGTGTCCAGCCTTTGCTTGTGTCCAGCCTTTGCTTGTATCAGCCTTTGCTTGTATCAGCCTTTGCTTGTGTCAGCCTTTGCTTGTGTCCAGCCTTTGCTTGTGTCAGCCTTTGCTTGTGTCCAGCCTTTGCTTGTGTCCAGCCTTTGCTTGTGTCAGCCTTTCCTTGTGTCCAGCCTTTGCTTGTATCAGCCTTTGCTTGTGTCCAGCCTTTGCTTGTGTCCAGCCTTTGCTTGTATCAGCCTTTCCTTGTGTCCAGCCTTTGCTTGGGTCCAGCCTTTCCTTGTATCAGCCTTTGCTTGTGTCCAGCCTTTGCTTGTATCAGCCTTTGCTTGTGTCCAGCCTTTGCTTGTGTCAGCCTTTGCTTGTGTCAGCCTTTGCTTGTGTCCAGCCTTTGCTTGTGTCAGCCTTTGCTTGTATCAGCCTTTGCTTGTGTCCAGCCTTTGCTTGTATCAGCCTTTACTTGTGTCAGCCTTTGCTTGTGTCCAGCCTTTGCTTGTGTCAGCCTTTGCTTGTGTCCAGCCTTTGCTTGTGTCAGCCTTTGCTTGTGTCAGCCTTTGCTTGTGTCCAGCCTTTGCTTGTGTCCAGCCTTTGCTTGTGTCCAGCCTTTGCTTTTGTCAGCCTTTCCTTGTGCCCAGCCTTTGCTTGTATCAGCCTTTGCTTGTGTCCAGCCTTTGCTTGGGTCCAGCCTTTGCTTGTATCAGCCTTTGCTTGTGTCCAGCCTTTGCTTGGGTCCAGCCTTTGCTTGTATCAGCCTTTGCTTGTGTCCAGCCTTTGCTTGTATCAGCCTTTGCTTGTGTCCAGCCTTTGCTTGTGTCAGCCTTTGCTTGTGTCAGCCTTTACTTGTGTCCAGCCTTTGCTTGTATCAGCCTTTGCTTGTGTCAGCCTTTGCCTTGTGTCCAGCCTTTGCTTGTGTCAGCCTTTGCTTGTATCAGCCTTTGCTTGTGTCCAGCCTTTGCTTTATCAGCCTTTGCTTGTGCCCAGCCTTTGCTTGTGTCCAGCCTTTGCTTGTGTCCAGCCTTTGCTTGTGTCCATCCTTTCCTTGTGTCCAGCCTTTGCTTGTGTCCAGCCTTTGCTTGTGTCCAGCCTTTGCTTGTGTCCAGCCTTTGCTTGTGTCCAGCCTTTGCTTGTGTCCAGCCTTTGCTTGTGTCAGCCTTTGCTTGTGTCCAGCCTTTGCTTGTGTCCAGCCTTTGCTTGTATCAGCCTTTGCTTGTGTCAGCCTTTGCTTGTGTCCAGCCTTTGCTTGTGTCCAGCCTTTGCTTGTATCAGCCTTTGCTTGTGTCCAGCCTTTGCTTGTGTCAGCCTTTGCTTGTATCAGCCTTTGCTTGTGTCCAGCCTTTGCTTGTATCAGCCTTTGCTTGTGTCCAGCCTTTGCTTGTGTCCAGCCTTTCCTTGTGTCCAGCCTTTGCTTGTGTCCAGCCTTTCCTTGTGTCCAGCCTTTGCTTGTGTCCAGCCTTTGCTTGTGTCCAGCTTTTCCTTGTGTCCAGCCTTTGCTTGTGTCCAGCCTTTGCTTTTGTCCAGCCTTTGCTTGTATCAGCCTTTGCTTGTGTCCAGCCTTTGCTTGTGTCCAGCCTTTGCTTGTGTCCAGCCTTTCCTTGTATCAGCCTTTGCTTGTGTCCAGCCTTTGCTTGTGTCCAGCCTTTGCTTGTGTCAGCCTTTGCTTGTATCAGCCTTTGCTTGTGTCAGCCTTTGCTTGTGTCCAGCCTTTGCTTGTGTCAAGCCTTTGCTTGTGTCCAGCCTTTGTTTGTGTCCAGCCTTTGCTTGTGTCAGCCTTTCCTTGTGTCCAGCCTTTGCTTGTGTCCAGCCTTTGCTTGTGTCCAGC